GAGCTGCTGCCGGCAGGTGCACCCGCAGACCGCCGCTGTGCTGCCCTAAGCTCCTCCGTCTCAGCTTTGGCCTCCTTCGTCTCAGCCTTGGCCTCCTCTATAGCTCGTAGCGCCTCATCCAACCTCGCGCTCAGAGTTGCGTCCTCCTCCGTTCCAGACATATCAAACTAAAACTCTAAACCCTCCCTGCTGTCCCAGCCTCGAAGTGCTGTCCCAGCTATAAACCCTGCTGTCCCGGTCCCCGCAATGGCCTCCGCACCAGCTATGCACTGCTGTCCTCGCCCCCTTCGGCCGCGGTCCCAGCTATGAAAATGGTGTCCGCTGCCCCGATGGCCCAGCTCCCACCGCTCAGACGCCAATACCCACTACCAACACCAGGCCTTACAATATATTGTGTTTGGGTGCGGTAGCTCGTCTGAGGCCGAAAGAGAAAGAAGGTTGACTCAAGACCTTGTTGCTTAGAGAGTAAGAGACATGCGGTAGGCCACACCATCGCCATGCAGCATGTCTGTCAATATATTCCATCCGCGTACCCCCCGGAGGCCCCGTAGACAGTATACTCTGCCGAGCACCCCAAACAGGAGGGTTACGAGTTCATCGATGAACTTGCGACACATGCCGTGCGAGGAAGGGACGGAGGAACGATGGCTCTGAAAGGAGTCTTCAAGGAACGACTTCTTCAGACCGTTTCGGTGGCTACACAGGTGGCCATATCTCGGCGAGTGCAGAGGTACAAGCTCGCATTGCGCGGGCGTCAAGACGCCGAAAACAGGCGAACAAGATCGACCTCGGACCAGTCAACGCCAATGATATGGGGATGGAGTGTAGACGCATCGTAGAACGCGTTTTCGTTTGAAGTTGGCGTCTTGTTTGAGAGTAGATGTGACAGATTTGCGTAGAATAGGGTAAGATGTTATCATGAACGGAGATGAAAGGGCTTTTCCAACACGGAGATGTAGCATGGATCAAAGCATTTGTTGGATTTCAGCTTTTACAAGCGGACATCAACGCAGTAGTATTTTAGCAAGCTTACGAACGCATATAGGATACCATCAGGATTGTCATTGGTAAGTTGAAGAGGAGATACTTTTACGATGTAAATGACAGTCGAAATAAGTCCTACATATGTTGTTGTACTTCGTATTGGTTTAAGGTTCATGTAGAGTATGAGACAGTAAGTGAAAGTTTTCTGAGGTACATCTGCAATTGTCGGAAGGCAAAAATAAATAAA